CATGAAGTGAAAATTGTTTCTTTTTTTATTTGGGTTACCAACAAAAAAATTCAGCAATTTTTTACAAAACTTTATACTTTCCAAGTCAAAGTCTAGCTCTTTTCGAATTAAACGAATAATTATTTTGCTTTACAATTAATTGTACTTTTAATTTTTTCCATACGTAATATGTATAGTTAAAAAGGTTCTACAATTTTAAAGAGTGCCTCTTTTTTAAAAAATACAATTTTTCTTGCTTCATGCTCTGGCTTTTTTTTCATCCAAAATTTTAAATTAAACCCAAAACTTTGCTCATCAGTCTGAAACATGGAATGTGGCATACGAGGTGCCTTCCGGTTTGTTGTGATTTGGCACATATCTCTTTGGTGGCCTCTAGTTTTCGCCTGGGTCTTTACTTCATCATAAAGCATCAAACGTCAGAAGCAGTCGCAGTCAACGGCGACGCACAATCTCAAAGTTTGAATTGAGTTGCGTCTGAACTCGGCGCTCCACTTGGAACACTCCTACATATACATAGATATAATATTTGTCTGCTTTGTTTGCTGAGTCCCACGGAGTGATTCCCTTCATGAAATTCCCCTGGCACCCACTCCAAAAGCTCAGCATTGGGAGTGACGGCAGCGTATACTTAATATATAGACTATATTATTCATTCACTCTCTGAGTTAATACCGTGGATTTTCAATATATAAGAACTACATATTAGTTAATTTTGTCTTATCCTATAAAATTTTTATAATCAAATTTTTACAAATATTTTTATAAAATTTTCATAATTAAATTTTATAAATTATATGTTATTTAAAATTCCCATTAAATATATACTCAATATTTTTAAATATACTACTTATTGAAAAATTCATATGATTCATAATTGCATTACTAATTTAAAATGTTATGTAAAAAATAAATGAATCTGTTCAATTATAAAATTTTTTTTGTTGCCCTTTTTTTTATTATTTTTATTTAGTCGTAGTTCAATAGTAAATCGAAATGCATGAAACGGTTAGTTTCCCAATAGAAGTCTTCCTATTTGTAGTTCCCGGACTTGTGCTTCTTGTGTTAGTTTTGTACGTTTGCAATTGGTATTTCTACGTTCGTCGGCGAGATCGGGAAAAATTACGAGAATATAATCTTTCTACCACATGGCATTACGTTGGTCCCAGATATCCAAGCATTCATAAGACAAGACTAAGCCATATGATGAATTCAAATAATATGTATTATTAATTTTTAAAGTGAGACAATTAAATGTTGTTGGTGCAGAATAAACTAAGTTTTTAAATTTTTAGAAAATCTACCAAGATGAGAGATGAAAGTTTTATATTATACTATATCTGTGCCCCAGCCTTTTTAATGCTGATATTGCTCTGCATCTTCTACTGCTGCCTTAGTGTCATCGCGTGTCGCACATCGCTGGAACGGTCTAATTGGCGCTGGACCAGGGCCCAATATGAACAAATACATGGAATAGACGTTTATTGAAAAAAGAGTCCAAGATAACATTTCAGCGAGAAAATGCCTGCATAAAATCGTACCATCTAAAATTACCTATTGTTTTAATAAATTTTTTATTTATTACTATATGTATACAGTTTCTTTTCGACTATATATTTGCTTATAAAGTATTTTCAGACAACCATTTCTCAGTGTATTTATGCGATAAGCACATTAATTCCGACTTAAGTATCATTTGCGTTTTTCAGTCTTCCTCATTTAGTTTCATTTCTGCTCGCTTTCTTGAACGTCTTTTGCATTATGGATTTGGCGGTCATTAAACATATTTTCAGTATACGCGGCTTGAAGATAGAACCTTTTATATTTGTACTCTGCGGATTCCTGTTTGCAATGGTTTTCGCGTACCTTTGTTATTTGTGCCATCAGTGTGGCGAGAATCGTCGGCGAGCTCGGATAAAAGATCAGGAACTACCAGCGCCCCTGGCACGACTTTCGATTGGTCCACGATGTCCTAATATTGCCAGAACTAAACTCACCCATAGTTTAAACATGGGAGAGGCCTATTAAACACAAGATACATTCGTCAGACAGATTAAAATAATAAAATTGGTGAAAAGTACATACAAATATGAATGATATTCAAAGAGTTCTTCCATACCTCATATGTGCACCAGTGGCTTTATTATTCATGTTCCTGTATTGCTACTATTTCTATCGGAATTTCCGTGAGTGTCGCCGACCCCGAGGGAGTGAGGTTACATCTACTGATTCAGAAGTAAGGGTTTAATAACAAAGTGTTTTTATCTCTCGGAAGTGAATCACAAACCAAACACAATATCTTATCAGGCAGTATGTGAAAAAGTTGCATGCCTTTGTTCTTGTTGGATGTTGGCGCTTAAATAACACTTAGGATATAGTTTTTATTTATTAATACAAAAAACCTTTATGTAATGTACCTTTAAGGTTTTAAATACTCAAATTTAATATTAATTATTAAAATCACGAATAATAAAGTATATTTTTTTGAAGTTTAAGAGTTTTAAGATTTTAAGTTTAAGAAACTGTTTAAATTATATGAAATTTTAACAAAAAAATGTACAGGCTTATGCAAAACGAAAGTTAAGATTAGCAGTAGTTTATTTATAAAGTTTGATTCGTTTTCCAAATAAAGTTTCGATGTTATGTGGAAGCAAATTTGTCGTCTGGGTGGGTAATAAAATGTTTGATGAGTTCACGGAAAGTACCTTTAAATACAATTTAAAATGGAACGTGATGGCTCCAGGTGTCTATGTGTCAGTGTATCTGTGTCTTGTTGGTGGCTCACGGCGGGTCATAAATTCAGCCAAAAACTTGGCTATGCATCTTCGCTGACGTTACCTTTCACGACCTGCAAAATTTAGAGCTGCACGGCGGTTTTTGATGGCCCTCAGTGGCGGGACGAGGAGCACTAACAAATGACATTTTCTTGACTTCCAGGCAATGAAGTTGTTCCAGGTAATAAGCCAAATTAAATTAAATTAATAATGCAGGTTCAACCAAATTAAAGTATAACTAGCTTATGGTTGATGAAGTTGTTTATTCGTTAGCATTAAGTTAAGAGGCCAGCATCTCTCAATTAAAATGTTATTATTGACAAATTAGCTTCTAACTCACAAGAAGTTCTAAGCAAATAAGTTGAAACTTTTCCTCCAATTCGGGGACACTAAATTGAATTTGAATTAGTCAATTTTCCCATCAATTTGGCCAACTTTCCTAAGCGATAAATAGCCTTCAAGAATAGACATACATATATACTCTTTATTATGGGACCCATTCAGGCAGTGCTGGAGGTGCTGCTCCGACTCCCTTCTACCCAAATTGAAACGCTAAAATAATTTACGGCCCAACTAGCCACACAGACTGGCCAACTTTAGTTTCATCTCCGTTTTCGGATGCGGATCCTGCCGAAGTCTCCTTGGCTGGCACGTTAAATGCCATCGAAATGCTCCCAGTTGGAAAATTAGTTTAAAAATACGTTCGGAGAAGGAAAAGGATGCTCATCATTTTCTGTGGCAGCAGCACGCGACTTGCGTTCAGGGTGGCGTAAAAATTCACTTAGTTCAACTCACTCCGGTTCCTTTGCAACCAAGTTCCCCGGAGAAGGGGTTCAATAAAAACGACTACCAGATATATGTATGTATATAAGTAAAACGTACCAAGAAGAGGGAAAATTCGACAGACTGTGGCTCGATAAAACGGTCGTGTTTTACAATTTTATTAGGTGACGCGAGAGCTCGTCAAATATTTAAATAAAACGATACATTCGGTTGCATGGTGCACGTCTGGCATTGTTGGCCACGTTTAAGTAATTGCATTTTAGTGGACACTCGTTTTACAATGGCAGAGGTGGCACGTTAAATCATCTTGTGTTTATCGGGCGACCATAAATTAAGGCATTAGCCGTCGTCCTTCCTGAATTGCATCGAACTGTTTGCATTGCGACCGTGGCACTTTCCCGTGCAGCTGCTGCCGCCAAATGTGGGATTTACACTGTGGCTGGGGTTAACCGCAATCGAAGTCGTATCCTTAAAGAGATGCCCCACCATCACCGGCCCCAAACCCCCACAGACCCGGTCATTAATTGTCCAGAAGAAGTGTGCGTGTGGCTCAAAAGATTGGGGGTAAGTTCAATACAAATTTTGACACTTGCACTCTTAAACAAGAAAGGAAAGCTAACTTCGGATGGAGTCTTGCAGTTCAGATAGGATATATGTATATCGCAAATATCGGATATAGTTGGCCGATCCTTATGAGAATTTTATAATAAAATCAATTTATTATAATATTTATATTATTCAACGATCGGAAATGACCCAACTTTCAAATTTTTGAAGATAGAAGCTTAAGATTTTTTAAATTTTTTATTCATTTTTATACTTTAATATACATTAAAAAAAAAGGTAAGAAAAATTATAAAAATAATATAATACTTTTCGCAGATATGATTTAAATATTATATAAATAAGCTAAACTCGTTATTGGTTTTTTGCAGTGGAGTCTCATTGGCATTGTTTGATTTAGTCGCTGCGCAAAACACTTGTGGACTTCGAACTTTTGAGGATTGAGCCAATCCTCGGGAATGTTTTCACTGCCCAAAGAAACCATTCTCCTAGCGCTCAACCTCATCCTCATCCGTCATCCTCCCCCTCAACCCATTCTGTTTGCTAATGAGCCAATTTAGTTGCATTGAACGCAATTGCATCGGTTGTGTGCTCCAGAGTTTCGGTAAGTGTGTGCAAACGCCGTCTGGTCGGTGCTACTTGAAACTTGGCCAATACACCGGGCCAACTGCCATCAGGCTGAGGCGATTTGCTTTGAAATGGTAAGTGGATAGACACGGCCGGCGGATAATGGCCGCCTTCAAAGGATCAAGTATATTTCAAAACAAAAAATTACGAAATTTAAAGGAGAACCAACATTAAGTAAGTAATCTGTGATAATTGCTGTTGTATACACTTTAATGTGTCATATTTTGAATAAAAAATTTCATTTTGGTTTTTACATTTCAGTTTTTTCTATGTATCGCCGTCATCAAGTACTTACGACAGGCGTCCATGGTATGACGATTCAAGTAGCAGATCTGACTAAAATACTTGCCACATTGCCCGCACTGGTGGTTCCAATTGTGGTGGCGCAGTGTTCGCTGATGTGACCTCAAGTTAGAGCTATTATGGGAAAATAAAATGAACAATGACAAGATGGAGGGGCTTTAAATATGCAAACCGATCGGCAAAGGACTTCTGACAGCTCTGCTCGGGACACACAAAAGGACGCTCTCCTGTGTGGACACGCATGTGGGCGATCAGCATCCAGGAGTGGTCGAATTTCTTAATGCAACCACTGCACTGAAACTCCTCGCCCTTTGCCTTGAAGCGACGTTTCTCTGCCGGCTTTTTCCGGTGAGCGGGTGTGACAGGCGGTGGAGGTGTGGGTGGTGCTAGTGGCGGTAGCTTTTCCATTTTCCCGACCGTCTTCTTTTGGCTCAGTTTTGACTGAGTTCCTGGTTTCCTGCCACGAGTACGCCTCGTGGATTTTGCCACGAGTTGTATCCTTCCCACCTTAATGGTTCCCAGGTTTTTGGGGACAATATCTGGACTTTGGTCCGGCATATCCAGTTCCCAGATGGTGTGGCTGAATGAATGATTTTCTGAAGCTGGCTGAATGGCCATAAACTGAATCCCCAGTCGCTCCTCCATTTCCCTTCTGACCAAAATTGGTATATTATCCCCAGTACGCCAATCATCCTTCGGCTTTTCAGTACCATAATGATAGGTATATCTTAAGTACTGTCTGGTTTTGGTTGAACTCTTTTCATAGTTGGTCGATTTGGGCCTGACCATTGGCGCCAAATTGGGTATCCTTCGAAAGAAAGCTGAAAATAAACGTAAAGTGGACTTGTGATAACCATTGAACGACAATGAGCCTTACCATCGTAACGCTGGTAGAATCGTTCGATTTTGTCGCTGTAGCGATTGGACAGAAAGCTGCGAAAAATACTTGGCATGTCTCGGAAATCCACCTCACAACTAAGCATCTCTCAGTTTTTTTTAAATTTACAGGCTCTGCCAAGCCTGTCAGCAATGGAGTGGCCTGCTGTGATATGGAGGTGATTATTGCAAACGATTTACATTAATTGAGGTGTTTCTATACCCCTGCTTGGTAGATACATTCAAAAAATATACATTTATACAATATACAATACAATAAATTAAATGATTTAAGAAACTTTTTAAGAAGTTTCCCAGGAAACCATTCTATTTTCTAATAACTTTTGATTCTTCTTTGTTCTTTTCAAGGGAGGACCCCCTTTCAAAACATGGCAGTTTCATGAGATGATTATGGAGGCCGCTGGCGAAGGCCATATCTTTGCCTATATTTATCCTTTTCTAGAGCAGAATACATTAAACGATTTAAAGGTCGATTTTCCGCCAATCTACACCTTAAAACACAACAAATTGTTGTATAGTATGTTTAATTTTTTTTTGAGACCCACTTCAAAATCTGTAAAAAACATGAAATAACATTATACTCACAGTGAGGGTCGTAAATTTGTCGATATTACTTGAGCTATAAAAGTTTAAAGATTTATACATCGGTTTTCTATAATCTTCATCGAATTTTCCGAGATTTTAATCTTTTAAATGTAAGAATAAAATATTTTTGAGACTTTCTATATGAAAATATATTATATATAAATATGTTCCTTTCCCCAGAAAAGCCTGCACTGTCTGTACCAACATACCGAGAACGCGTAATATTTTAAACAATTCTGCGAAAAAATAAAAATAATTAAAGCCTCGTTATCTTTAAGCCCCGGTTATGAAGATCGATTTCCTGAAAGCTTTCCCAATAGTGGCATGAAATAAGAAAACTTGCTGCCGCTTCAGCTTTAAAGCCTGGGAATCAGTCAAGTCCCTCATCGGTGAACTCAAGACCAAGCACTTAAACAATTTTCTTGTTAAAATTTTTGCACACGGATTCGAGAGTCCTGGAGAAAACAAGTGAATGAGAGCACAGCACAGGAGAGAAATAAAGGAGAGAGGTAGATGGATGTTCTAGTAGCCAGGCAATAACCAAGGCTCGAATGTGTTGAGCAATAAAATTAGTTGGCTAGTGGGTGAGTGCTTGTGTGTGTTTGTTTAAGACATGCAAAGACGTTTTGCAATTTGCCTGTAATCCTGTTGTGCACCACCCACAAGAATACCAGCCAACTCCACCCACCTTCTTGGACTTTAAGGATTGTTCCGCTGCTTACGTTGGTGGTGCAGCTCCTTCAGTAAGCACTTAAGTCCCAACTCTATTGTAGAGAAGTTTTCAATTGTTCGGCAGTTCGTAGCGTTTATTTATTTGCATTTTTTATTGGCCGTTTTTGAGTGTGTTTTGTAATAAAAGCCGGAAGAGAAAACATTTATGTGCCCAACACTCCCCAGCCGCCCCACAACCAATTCCGATTTCCACAACGACTTGTTCCGAACAGCTTTATTGCATTTATTTGGCACTTTATTACCGCCAGTTCGTTGTTTGGCTGTTAAATGGCCAAGAGGACCACAAAATATTGGGCCAGCAAATTACTTGGGTCATTTTGGAGTGCATCAATCTCGTCGTCTACAGTGGGGTTCAAGTTTTTATAAAAGCCGAATCAAGAAGTTCAAGTGAGTGTATCTGAGTAAGTAAAAATATATCAAATCAAATGTATACTTTAAGTATTTATGAGCAGCTTTTTAGTCACGTAACGCACTGTATCAATCAGTAGCAGTATCATCCTGTAGCAGAACAACAAATATTATCCAGACAACAACAAAGGCCAAATTGTTTCCAGTTAAACATTAATTCATTTCGGCAACTGGTTGTGCAGTTTCTGTGCTCACAACTCTCTGTCTCCATAAATACTTCATATCTGTGGACCAAACAAATGACATTTTTCATAAACTTATATTTGCCATAGCACATCCATAAGGACGTCTATCTAATGTATCTGGGCGTAGGAGTATCTTCGTGTCTTGCCCCCAAAACGACAACATCGCATAAATGCTTTCGACTGCCAAACAAAAGGCCGGCATAAAAGGAGAACTGTCATGCCATTGAAAAAGTAGTTGCAATCCTTCTCTGCTTCATCTGGGAGTGTGCATCTCTGTTTATTTGTGTATGCCAGTTGGACTATTAAAAATCTATTTCAAGTGCACAAACATCGAAATTGCGTTTGCCAGCCAGCCAAGCTTTATGACAGCTGGCAGGCACTTTATTGTAGACTGCTACTAAAGCTAGTAATTCCCGAGCTAGTCACAGTCGACATCTCGAATTAAATATGCATGTACGACAAATGAGATTTACCATTTTTTCTTCATCAACTTTAATTCACGCTTGTGCATCAACAATGATACCCAAATGAGACTCTGGCCATAACTTTATTATGTAATTAAAACTTGTGATGGCCACAGAATTTCCAGCTAAAAATTAAGAGTGAAAAAAAATTATTCTGAATTGAAATCCTAGGCATTTACTTTAATTTTTAATTTCAGTTTCAGTGCTTCCCAGTCACGACAAACTAATCAGGAATTGAATTCCCACTTTTACTTTAATCCAGTCCACATAAAATTGCTCGGCAGCCATTCGAAAAGGAGTGCTCTTTTGGGAGGGCGACCTCCCAGAAGGCCAATGTCTTAGATTGCCTTGCAAATTTTGTCATCAACATATAAATGAAGTATGGCGGCAGGTTGTCAATCCCTAGATTTGGAAAAAGCTTGAAAACGAGTCACGGCAGTATTTGGATTCCTTTGTGTAAAGACACGACACAAACGAATCACATTTCACAATTTTCCCATTTAAAATGTAATTATTTTTGTTTTGCCTTTTTGCTGGCTACGTACGGGATAAGAATATGGATTTTCGTTTCCATTTGCACTTTGCATTTATTTTCGAGTTTTTCTTTGAGAAATGCTGTCATAAATAAATATCGGGGTGAATTTACTAAAAACATTTCTATCATCATCTAATATGCAACAAATCCTAAGCAAATAAAAATTCATAATTTAATCAAATACTCGGAAATCAAGCTGCGACGACAAATCTCCTTCAGGCGTTTGGCAATTAAATTTGCATGCCGCAAAGTGTATGTCTGTATGGGGAAAAAAAGTGCCAAAGCCCATTCCTACTTGTCCGGGTTATTTACTAAAGAAAAACACAATTGTTTGCAGCATTTGCGGCCTGGCCTGACCAAAGCCGACACCTCCATCCTTTGCCGCACTTCTATTTCCATCTAACTCGATCCCTAACCCACCTAAGGCTAGAGCATAAACAAACTGCGACATAGGCAAATAGAACTTTATTTTCGGGTGCTTGGGGAAAATTTGTTAATTTGTGCAAAAGTTTGTATTGCATTTGGCCAGTGTCGGTCTACGTGTCCGGCATAGCAATGCCAAAATTGTCATGAAAGAAATTAGGATAAAGGCTTTGTAGAGCTATCGCCAGGCTCAATATTTAGCAGTTGTCATTTATACCAAATATGATGATATTTTGAGCCTAATTGTAGTAGGGTTGCAGCAATTAGGCAACAAAAATCTAGAAAAGCACCCAACTGTCCTCCAAAAACACAGGAGGATCTGTAAATCCGTTTAAATTGATTAGAGGTGACCACTCCAGAACACCCAAAACAACTGCCAGCACAAAGGTCTGCTGCGGTGCATTTCGTTCAGTTTATAAATTAAATTTAAGTTGCAAACAAGCAAATTTGCCAACACGTACATAACGTATCTCCGTTACGGGTCTATTACTTGGCCAGAAGTGCGGCCAGCTCCGATGGCCAAGTGTCGAGCCGGCAAATTTGTGCAACGGAATTGTGCCCATAAATAAAATATGGCATCCGACCATGTGGTCGGTAGCAGTGGACTCGGTCGCTATCTTTGCGGTTAGTCCATGAAATGGCACTATTGTTGTTGGTAGATTTTTGCGAGCCATTTTCACATGACAAATGCTTGTTGCTCCTGTTCCAACGCCTTTTCCTGCTTCTGTTGCAATTGTTATTATTGTTAGCATTGTACTTGGGCTATTCAACGAGCCATTTGTATGCTGGTCGGGTTTGTTGGCCTGGCGATAAGTCATAGCTGGCACGTACCAAATTTATTTGTTCAAGTTTGTTTGCCCAGCAAGGCATATGCGAACCTGTGGCCAAGGATATGCCGTATCCTTGCAGCATTCGATCCGAATGCCAAATGGAGGTTGTATCAGCGAGGCCATAGGCAATTGCATTAATCGCTTGATAATTTACACAACAATAATAATGTTTACCGATGCCAAATAAATATTTATTGAATTATGCCGCAATTACAGATAGTATATACTGCATGTGAGAGTTATGTTGTACAAACTGTTAGGGATTAAAATATGTACATATAAGTTTCGCCAGTCTTGATCTATATTCCTCGAGTGCCTAACAGTTGAAAAAATTCAAACGTTCAAAAGTTAGTTCTTACAAAAAAACGCTGTATAGGTTTGATTATATATGTTTGTTTATTGCATTTCCCACAGTAAAGAAAATATGCACCGTATATGCAAATTTAATTTCCAAACACGCACACACACACACATAGAGGAAAAACCTAGGTCATAGTCAGAGTCGTAGCATACTTTTCAGCACCGCAGGGCATTAAAAATGGACTCGTGCTCCAGCCAGCCAACCCGTGTGCGGTTATTTATATGAAAATAATCACACATGCAAATTAATAATTTCATTTCGCTTTGCAACCACACAGAAAAAAGGACCAGGTCCATTGTGTCCATGGCACAACAAAAAAAGAAACAATGCCTCGGCCCCGAAATCAAAAATTTCGACCATAAATAAAATCATAAAACGTGAACCAAAGCCCGCGGTTCCCCAATTTTGTGTGTAGAATGGATGGGCTTATATAACAATAAATAGATTTTGTTTGGACAAATCTGTTGCGCATTTGTTTTTGCTTATCGGAGCAAATAATTTATGGGCTGGCATAAAAATACACGCATTTCGCTTGGGCTTAGCGACTGGCATGTCGAGCGATTTATCAATTTGCCACTTTAAAGCTGTTTGTCTG